GGTATGATCCTGTTTGGTAAAGACCCTAACAAACTTTGAAAATGTTTGAAATGCGATTCCTAAACTTTAACTGTAAAATGACGCTTCATGACTATTCTAAGTCAATATACGGTCTAATCATAGGTAATAAAACTGTTAAGCTCACGATTCGTCCCACTTGTCCTGGAAGTCTTATCAACACTCATCGACAAGACGACTGATGAAGGCTCAGCACATGTTTTAAAAAATGTTCATTTATTTTTAATCAGTTAGTTATAAGCAACTTAGAACCTAGTACATATATTCATCAACTGAAGTTGCTACAGCAAATAAACATAGCAAGATTAAATTCTTCTCAAAAATATCAGAGTAGTAGAAGTAGTTATAATATCAATTGAAATATAAAATATTAGGCATAGGAAATATGATTAAAGAAAGAATAAGTTAGCGGAATGAAATGTACAAAATAATGAATGCATTTACACCACTGAAGACTTATTCTGAGCCATGTCGCCTAATGTATCTCGAAAAACTCACTATAGCAATTCACGAAGACCTCGACCTAGTAGTTTGGTCTATACAACTAACAATATGACTCAGTTCAACAGTGAATTACTTAATGGATTGATATTACATTTTCATCAGGCATCCACTAAAAACATTCTCATACAATAAGATATTCTTTAATTTCAATCTAATCACTACAATAATTTTCAGTATTATTCATATGTATTAATGTGTATGAACATAAATACATGAATATATTGATAAGATCTTGTTATCTGGTATGGAATAGATAAAAATGACTGTTTTCTTAAATGTTGACATGTAACAGAAGAGTTATTGGATTTTCGGTAAGATTATACTTTATGGAAGACCTTTGAGCAATGTTAAAATGACCTTGGAATATCTACCTACTTATCAGGATTAAATGAGGGTTATAAACCAGTGTAAGGAATTGGGATTAAGATTTACAGTTAATGGTTAGGGTTAGGAGTTACATTTAGGGTTTTCATCACGAACTGACATAAGCTAAAATGCTAAAACTTTATTTAGCCAAATGGATGGGTGAATTTCACTCCAAAATCTGAGAACTGCGATTGGTTCGTCTATAAATCATAGTCTCGCCTAATTTTCGTTTTAATTTAGTAAGAATTAAATTAAATATGTACACTCCATTTATACTATAACCCAGTAACCAGTGTATAGAATGTGGTCACTGTTTCTGGCATCTAGTTCTAATGTTTGTTCTTTGCTTTTTACTACTACTACTACTGCTACTATGGCTAATAACAGGATTATTTCTTAGGAAAATTAATGGAATTTGTTGTGATAAAGGACATATTCCAGTTTGTTTTACTGATGAATAAACATTACTTAGTTTATATAAGCAAAGATGGATAGTGGCTAGTAGTGGAATCCAGGATGCGCATTTCGTCCTATTTGGGAATCGTCAGCTGGGTGTACCTGCATCTCAGAGTTGATGTTCACTCTGGGACTCGAACCCAGTACCGTTCGCTTCAAGCACCATCACATTATCCAATTAGCTACTGAGTCCTGATAGCCTCTTGCTTGTACAATGGGGTGAAGTTTAATTCACCTGGTATTGTTTTACTTGAAGCGAACGGTACTGGGTTAGAGTCCCAGAGTGAACATCAACTCTGAGATACAGGTACATCCAGCTGACGAGTTCCAAATAGGACGAAACACGCGTCCTGGATTCCACTGCTAGTCACTACCCATCTTTGCTTATAATGCTTGTAAATTAAGGCAATATCAAGGCATACGCATAGTATGCACATATGCCAATAAGAGACTGATCAATTTCAGTCCCAAAGATCAATGGCGATATTCAAGTAAAACAATACCAAGGGGATTACTTGATTCTTCTTTTGTTCTTGCATGTTCACAGTTCTTCATCAACACATCTTGACGCCTTAACACTGTAGACTGATCTCACATATTATTATTATTATTATTATTATTATTATTATTATTATTATTATTATTATTATTATTATTATTATTACGAACATGTTGTCTTCCAATTAAAATTTCCGCATGAAATATTAAACGTTGACACATTATTCACATTGTTTTCATCATCACGTAGTCTACTATGTTCGAATGATATGGTGATATCCATAGAATTGATATTGATCTGTACGTTGGACATACAATTATCATCATCATGTTGGGGATGTTAGATCCCCAGAACTCACTTGGTAAATGCCTTAATTTTGTAATTTTATCTTGAAAATTTGAATTTTTTTGTTTTCGCGCCAAGAGCGCTCTTTTTACCTTCAATGTCATATTTCCCACTTGGGAGAATCTTTAACTCTATTGGTCCGTTGTATATTTTAGTATGCTATTTTGTAACGCTTCCAAGGTCAGTTTTATGCTGTATATATACGTTTGATTTGTGTCTGTTGTTGTTGCTCGTGTTTGTGGATACTTTTGGAATATGTTTCCCCGTTCCAAACTTCGACTTCTCTCTCTAGTTAGCAGAGCTGGGTGGCATCGAATAGCTTAGCTTGTTGGTCTTTGGTCACAGAGTCTTTGTTCCGTTCGCAGACTAGGTGAACTCGTAATCGCTTCAAACATAACACATCATCTTTAGGACACTTTTTATTAGGACTATGTAATACATTCCCACAACTAGCAGTATAATCAGCATCAATTGCTTTTTCTTGAATAACTCCACTATAACAATCATCATTCTCTCCATCAACCTGTTCTTAATCTGTACAACTTATATCAGAATAGTAGTTATTATTTTTAGTACCATTTAATATACTATTGCGAACACTGGTATACAGACTTCCATTATCTTGTATTTGACTGTCTTCTGTATTATCACTGGTGATAGTGCAGAATGAAGTTCGGCATAAAATTATCTATACACAACACATATCACATGTATTACAATAGGAAATCAATTCATGTTGGTACACAGTTATGCATATGTAAACAAGAGAATTATAAGTGTATATGCATATAAATAATGTGTATGTTTGTAAAGTATGCGTATATTTTGTTTGCATGTAACCGAAATGAAGATTTCCGATTTTAAATGCAGAAGGGACATGGAAAAGAAAAGGAAAAGATAGTACTATACTGTATCGTTCGTCCTTCTATGTGTGTATACACGAGATTGTTCTATTATTACCATTACCACTCTTTTTATTGCTGTACTGTAATATGTAATATGCCTAATTTGAATGTAACATGGTTACCATGATTACGTAACAAGAACACGTTAAAAACAATGACACGGACAATACACAAGCAAGCTACATATAACATAATTCGAAACTAATATGTGTATTCAATATCTTTTCCGATAAATAAAGTGTACTGATAACAGTACGTATATAAACAGAAGGGATAAATATTTCTCTGAAATCACTGTTACTGTAAAACTAATTTTGATAAAATTTCTTTCCCTCACTTGAGATATCATGGACAGAAAAACCAACAGAAAGCATTCAGCCCAATAATCATTAGAGATTATATTAGATTATCCTCTAATTTTGTTACGAACTAATTTAAGTTGAAAATATGAAATGTTGCATCCCAATTCAAAAATTTACACGTAGACCGAGACCCACATGTCTTGGATCCGGTCTATAAGCGAAAACGTTTTTCAGTACCCTTATCACTCATTTTTAATGATAGCCGTAACCAGAAATCACCACCAGTTATAAAACTATAGTTGGGTAAGATTGCAATTAGGCTAAGTCGTTCAAGAGAAAAAAAGATATTGTAAAAGGAAACTTAGTTACTGCACGGAGTAGATGCATTTAAAATCATTTAAATTTCAAAAGCACGAATTATGTACATTCAAAGAGTTGAATTTCAATATCCATAAGTTATTTAGCTAAATAAATCCAACGGGAAAAACACTTTTGAAAAACTACCACCAGCCCTCTAAAATGAACGTTCCAATACATCCGTAGTTTCATACTACTTCAATTATTTTAAGTAATATAAATGGTGAAATATGATATTTATAGCTGTGGTGGCGAGACTATAATTCATGGACGAACCAATCAGCCATAAGATAACAGATCTTGGATTTTGGCGCGAAATTCACTCATCAATTTGGCAAAATAGAGTTTTGGCATTATAGCTTATATCAGTTCGCGATGAAAACCCTGAATATTATTACTAACCTTAAACGTCAACTGTAAATCACACAGGTTTCTAACGCCACATTTGGTCCTAGTTATTAGGTGGGCACTTGCAAGGTCACTCTCAAAGGTCACCCATAACTTATAGTCTCACCGCTGTGGTTCATAACACAAGAACAACAGTAAATAAATATGATCAGATCTGTATAACTATGTGAAGAGCCTAGATAAAATTAATTCTCACAACCCAACACACTATCATTCTCACAATTGATTGATCACTGGGTGGTGATCAATGCCATGTGTATCAAGTCCTTCTTAGTGCAGACCGAGTGCTATCGATCAAGTTGCAACTTGGTCGACATGACATTGATCACCACACAGTGATCAATCATTTATGAATACATCTCAGTCCTATAGGAAGTCAGTCACGGCCAGGATAACCCAGTGGTAACATCTCTGACTGTGAAGCTAGGCGACACGGGATCCAATCCGTCAGGGAACATCAGTTCCTTCAAGATTACAGGTACACTTTGCTGACGAGTGCCAAATAGCACGAAACCCGGGTCTAGGGTTTCCTGTTGACTACCTCCAACCACCATCTTACACTATCATTGTGTTTAGACATCGTTTTATGGGTAATGTTCTAAGACAAACTTAGTTGAGTGAATAATAAAAATGAGGGAATCTACAAAATTACAAATCAGTAACCAATTTCAAATCGATCATTAATCTAAAGAAATAAGTCAAAAAGCTATGAATTATCAACTGATCCATTTATCTTTATGTGCTAGACGAATTGAAAATAGGCATAAATAAATTGCCACCTAATAAGAAACAATAACACCTATAATCAATAAACGAAAAAGAGAACAACTTAAAACTTACTCATTCCATTTAAACTATTCAAATCATTTCCAACCAATCGATTAGCAGCATTGGTTTGCATATATATACTTGTTGGTTGTTCAATGATTTGGTGGTGATGCTGATCAGTTTTTCCAGGATGATTATGATGATTCATACCAATACCACCGACAACACCAGTTTGAGGTATACAAGGTAGTAATAAACCATTCGGTAGTGTGGGGGGAGGTGGAGGTGGTAGTGGTTGACCAATTGTAGATGCATAATCTAATTTACTTATACGACCATCCCCGATCCCACCAATACTATTAGCACATGTTGTACCGAATAACCGATTATTGTTATTATTTACAATGATTGAATTACTTTCTGTGGCTAAAGTATTACTATTATTATTCATAGTATATTGTAATATGTTATTTGGATGATGCAGAACAGTATGATTGACGCCGACACCGCCAACATTTCCACCATTATTCGATAAACAATTATTATTATTATTATGTACAAAATTATCTGTTGTTGTAGTTGTTAACGTTGTTCTTGTATTAGGTGATAGCGTAGATAAAGATTGTAAAAGTTTTGCAGCTTCTGGAATATTCATTGTATTTACAACATTATAATTTAATAAACTATTCACTCCATGAGGATGATGATTAGTACTTCCACATGTACCAATTAAAGAAAGTGGTGAATAAAATCCACCGGATTGATTAGGTGAAATCCCTGTTGTTTCAACTGTTAATTGTTTACAACATTGATGTTTAAAATGTAAATAATGTTTACATTTTCTCTGTATAATAATTATTATAGCTAGCAAGATGAATAAACAAAGTATAGCACCTAGTACATAAGATACAATGACAATAATTTGAGATAATTGTGATGATGATGCTGACAGTGATGATGATGATGATGATGATGATGATGATGAAATTGATGTTGATGAAGAAGATGCAGAATAATAATTTTCATTATGATTACCAAGATTCTCTTCAGCTGAACGAATTTCATGATTCGATGTAAGTGACTTCTCGTTGCCTACACTCATTGGTGAATGAATTTCTGGATTCATAGGTTTATTAGCTAGAGGAGAAAAAAAGTTATTTGTTTAAAAAACGAAGGAAAAATAAGAACGATCCACAATCATTAATCTGATAGAGATACACACCGATCTGAACCAAAACAACAATCGTTCCTTGAATCTACCAATTTACCTAGTCTTGTGGAAAATGTTATGTTGGTTACATAAAGCGTGTTCTTTTGAAACATATTTATGCACTAATATTCATGACTATCCGTACAATTACCTTACCATATATTAACAGATTTGACTTCAACCGAATATCTTTAAACATGGTGTTAGAAATTAATTATCAAATTAGCAAATCATAGAACTTGTAATAAACGTATAAGTGTAGTGAAACATTGATCAATGACTTCTCTTCAAATATGATACGTACATGTAACTATTCACTAAAATAACTAATCAATATATAAGGGGTTTCTGTTCACAGATATCAAGGGTCTGTTATATCCTATCCCTCTTTCTATCGGTTGTTATGCATATTGTAAAGGGTAAGGCATATATACACATTTAAGTCAAGTTATAATATGGTCATGTTATTCTCACAACACTTCATCGATAAATGTATTGAATGTAACATTCAGTTTGTAATAACTTGAAATTAACACATCACGAACAATAATCCAAATGAATCTATATTCTGATATTAAACGGTTGAAAGTAGTCGGTAGAAAATCATGTTCGATTTGAATTTTATAGTGATTAATACTCGTCACATCATCACTAGAACATACTTTCAATACTATTCTTGCATATCCAAATCCCAATCCTTTAGCTTCCCAATCTCAAATGTGTGATATGGCCTCGAGCCCAGTAAGAAGTAATAGTTCTTACAAATTCGCAAATACTATTTCATCACTAAACAAAGACAACATCTCGTTTTCGCGGAACATACATCAAATATGCATATTGTTTTCACGTAATATGTATTAGATCATTAATGTTATGAATATTTTCCAAAATATTAACACAACAAGTCGGATGAAGTAAGTATATAAAAATAAAGTATTCTAATTAGACTTAATTTATTGTATTAATGAATGTGTGAATATTATTATTTCTCTATTTCTCTTTCTATGCAGAATGTATTTTTATTTTATCGATCTGTCGCATTTTAATCTGTCTGATTTACCACTTTCACTCTCACTCACTCTCTCCCACACACACACACACTTTAACAAGAAGAAGACCCTTGGAAAATAAGAATGTGTAGAGATTAGAAAAGAAACAATAAGAATTCATAGTAAGTATAGTTAGTAGTAATGATTATCAAGAATTAGTTCTTAACACATTCATGAAAGAAAAGAAGATAATAGAGATACACATAGGAAAGAAAATAAAATGACAAAGGAACTTGATGAAAGGATATAGCCAATAAAGATCTGTTTGAAATCTACACTTTATTTATGTTAGTGTTTTTTTTTAATGGATACAGATTCGAAACCATACTACTTAGAAGTAAATTTAGAGATTTTATTGCGCAATTTGAAATGAATAATATGAAGTTCATCAGTTGAACTGGTTAAGACATACTCTACACATGACTAACCATCGTCTAGTCTGATTTTCAATGCTAGTCAACATGGGGGTAGGTTGATAAACATAAAGAGTAGATCAAACCAAAACATATGAGCCAGTCCTATAACATTAAGTACCGTGGCAATTAGCCGTGTCACTCGAAGTAGGCACCTGGAAAAGAATGATGAACGAATAGTTTGACAGGAATTGGGAACCGAGTATAGACAATATACCATTTGTGAAATATTTGTCCAAACAAGTTTATTGAACGAAACGTTGAAATTATTTAAATTTCAACCAATGAAACTATCCAATGTAAAATTTTCAATAGAACAATGAGAAGACTGAGTTGATCTGAAAAATGTGATGTATTTGCACTATACATTTCGAACAATCTGGTCACACATTAATACAGTTTTTAGAGCATTGTATGGAAATTGTCAAGGACGAATTCATAAGTTTATTGAAGCCTTGGCTATTCGTAAATTTAAACCCCCCTTATATGTAAATAAAAATTTGTCGTGATCTTGAATTTACCTTGGTAATCCTAAAGTCATTCTATGGCCTAGGATAACACAACAATTTCTTATTCCTTCTATACGATGTATAATTGTTTCTCCCGCCCCCCCCCCTTTGTTACCTTTTTTTTACTTGAACTTTCATTTAATTGACCTTTATTAATTTTCATATAAAATGCCCTGACAAGTGATCTAGTTGGTTAAGCGCCTGACGCGAGACTGATATGTCCTGGGTTCGAATCTCGCGGGGGCGTGATCGTGGATGCGCACTGCTGGGGAGTCCCATACTAGGACGAAATGGCCGTTCAGTGCTCCCAGGTTTTCCATGGTAGTCTAACTTCAATTGGCTCGTGATTTCAATCTGTGAAGTATACGTGTGACTAGATTGTTCGAAATGTATAGCGCAACCACATCACATTTTCCAGATCAACCTCATCTCCTCATTGTTCTATCGAAATTTATAAAATGAACTAATTGCCATAAAAATTTTCACAAATAATGTTTACCACATCTCTGTGTCTACATTCAATCTCAAGGGCAAACGATAAGTGAAAAATTATGAACCAACTACACCATTGAAGGCTTGTAATTCAAAATTCCTACACATTTCATATTTCTTTTTTTTGCGCTTCCATAGTAGATCTGATATCTCGTAGGAAACAATAACACGTAATTGAATCAAGTAACAGGATACAATGTGTGTGCCGATATGAGATGTGTCAGTTCTTGTATTAAATGATAACTGGAGTGATTTAAATTAATCAGTAGTATAAAATTATAATTCAAAATTTCTGGGTATTATCAGTTTTATTTTTCATTGGAAACTTTTGTTTCTTGTTTCTCAATAAATTTTTTTTAAGAAGTATTAAAACGCATATTATTGTAGATAAGTGTAGACATATATACACACTTAAATTTATTTCTGCAATATAGATCCTTCTACAGAAAAATTTCGCTGTTACTACTCAGAGACAGAAATAACATGTGAAACTTGGAAGGGTACAAACACAGACACTATGACATGTTGTTTTTAAGGGATAGCGGACTTGTTTTTTTAAAAAAATCTGTTTACGTCATCAATATTACCACCACCACCCCCTTCCACTAGGGTTTTTAACCTTGTTTTACTTAGAAGAGAAATATTTAAATTTCTCTACAAATTATCTCAATTTTATGAGTCGGTTTTTACTCATATTGATGTGTAAACACACATATATGTGAAGAGAGTTTTTATCTTATCGTCTGGTGAAAGTTGGTTTGTTTTGATTTATAATTGTATCTAACCGCATACCCATCTATCTATATCTATCTATCTACCTATCTACTAGCTTACTAACCTTCCCAACTATCTATCTTTATTACATAGATCTTGTTTTGGGAAGAGAAAATAATAACAATTGTATATAAACGGCTGACAATATTCGCATGATGGAAATGATAATCACCATTGAATTATAATTGAGAATTCGATTTTCATCGTAAACTGATATTAGTTCAAAATGTAATTTTAAAAAAGGAGGAGGACATTTCATTACATAGTTTGGAACTATATAGCAACAATGGGGACTCATAAGTGCATATATAAAATTGAACGCACTGAAGGGGGTGGAAGGGTAACTGTCGCACGATGAATAACAGGCAATTCAACCACTAACTAGTCAAAATCCAATAATCTTCACTTTATGCATTAGTTAATTTGTAATACCCACTTGAATTTCACTTAATATTATCAGTGACTTATACTGCCTCATTCTCAACAACTTGACTAATACATCATAGAATCAAAGTTTCTTATTGGCATTAGAAACAAGTCAATATTTGTTATATGACATATATAATTATTAATGCCAAAGTTCCACTGATAAATTTCTTAGAATTCTTTTTAATGCTCAGTAGAAAGTACGTCTACAAGTTGTAGACAAGGTAAGTACTTCTAACAAGTTTATGAGTGTTTGTTATTCTATGCATCGGATCTGTTGACAAAATGAGTAGTTTATTAGTTTGAGTTCGATTACATTTGAGTATTTTAATTTTTAAGTTATTAGAGTTGTAGTACATCGTGAGTGTCAGTGTGAAACGCTCAAAGTGACCAGTTTGAAATGATCATTAGAAAAGAACAGAATTTATATATAAGAAACGCTAATTTAAAAAAAATCAGTATCCTTACGAGATTTAATACACCGCATCACGTGAACCATTGTAACTAATCTATAAATCATGATAACATTAACTTAACATTGGATGTTTGAGATTCAGTAAATGAGTAAAATGAAAATGTCCCAACGTAATCCATGTTTGTGTTGATTATTTGCACAAGATAGTGGTTGTCTGAACTCAGTAGGTCAATGGATAATTTGATGGCGTGTCAAGCTTATATTACTGGGTTTGAGTCCCGGAGTGAATATCAACTCTGGAATAGAGGCACACCCAGCTGATGAGTCCCGAATAAGACGGAACGTGCGTCCTGGATTTCACTGCTAGCCACCATTCAAAATAATGTTTCTCTCTTGGATAAGAAAAAGAACCCTATCATCTTAACACAAACTTATTTTTTTCAATATCCGAGATACTTATACTCCTTTTACTCTACTCCACTTTCTCTAACTTGTAAATGAGGAAACCTGAAATAGTGGATTGATAAGAAAATAAATATTGAACATCCACATCATCATTATGATTGTACTAATTGTACATCAACACACAGATAACATTCAAACAAATCTATTCATCAATTTCAATTCGTCTGTGTTCAATTATTGAATTTCCTGTTATTACGTCTGAGAGATTGAATACTATCCACTACTTAAAAAAATCTTAATAATTTAGATTGTGTTAAGTTTTTCAAAGAAAAACCACCTAACAATAAATGTAAAAACAAGAGATTTCGTGTTAGTTTCTTGTTAAAAGGGTGTAACAAAATGATAGTCTTTCATAATGCGAATAACTATACATACACATACATACATCCCCTTTCATAAGTACACATATACAAACACATAGATACTTACATTAAGGAGGAAGTATATAATATTCAATGAAATGACGCAATCCCACAAATAACAATGAATGATGCATATGAATAGTTTGAAAGGGAGAGAGAGAAATAACTAGAGTCAGTCACATACTTCTAGACTTGAAGATGATGATGAAGATCAAGTATATCAATAGTTGATTTCGTGTTTGTTTATACTTCTTATCCAAAATTAATTTATTTCCGATTTATACATTAATAATAGTAGTCTTTATTCCATATAGATATGTAAGAGATGAATAATAAGTAGTTCGTTTATTATTATGAAGAGAGATTGGGAGTGTGAAAATGAATGAGTGAAGAGGAATATAAAGAGAGGCAACAACAATCCCACCACAACATCACCGGACAGTTTCATCATCCATTCATTCATAAAGACATCCGTCAAATTAGAGGTATAAGTTCAGAAACACTGGGACATCATATGTGCACGCATATATAACCATTCATAACACCTATAATATTTAATCACAAATTATACGAAGCAGGCTTTAGATTTGTATTCCAGTGGTTAAATACTGAGTCCTTAAATACTTCCCCTAAATGTCCAGCGTATATATATATATATATTTATATATATATATATATATGTTTGGGGTTGTGAAGATTGTTAAATTTCATTGAAATCATGGACCGATCAATGTTAGACCACCATTGCAAACCTACAAGCACTGGACGGTCGTTTCGCCCTAGTATGTGCACCTCCGAATCTACCACGAAGAATAGAATCGAGAATCTTCGGTCTTGCTCACGAAATCTTAACCTCTAGACCACTGAGCCAGCATCCAACAGTTTTAATGTCTAATTTCAACCAATCCACGATTTCGTGCGACCATTTTGACCGATTCATGATTTCAATGAAATTCAACAATATCCACAATTTTGAACTGAAAATTATCACTATATATGTATAAACACGTTTACATTGAGCAAGTGTATTGTTGCCATCAATCAGATTATATCTACTCACTCATTTAATACATATTAGTAAGATAATTTAATTAATTATACAAAGGATAAACGAGAGAAAGAGAGAGTAGAAACAGCACACAAAGAGAGACAAAGAACAGGAACGTTACACAAAGAAAAGAAAAAAATAAATTAGATTAAAAGAAAAACGAATAACAGGAATATAGTAGTAGACATGCGCAGTATGCATATATATATACGCAAGAATATTTCTATATATATGTAATTATGCAATACAGAGGAATGAATGAATAAACAAATGAATACATTTATTCTTAATTTGACCATATGTAACCAAAGCAGATTAATCAAAGTTTCTGTTTGATAAATTCTACTTCCGATACATGTAAAACGTGAGAGGATGGGAGGTAAAAAGTTATTAGTATGATTATGAACCAAACAAACAGAAAAAAACTAATTAGAATTCCATCATTATCAAGTACCAATTGGTTGTTCGTTATTGATCAGTGTAGGTATTGTGGTGTATGCTACTTATGCGGACATATATAAGTAGTATGAGTTGAAGGTGGAATGCTTACTAGTAAAAGGTTGGAATACAGAGAAGAGGAATGAAAACAGAGCAATCGGTATAACAACAAAATTAGAAGAATGATAGAGTATGTACAGGAAAAATGAAGGAAAATATCCAAATGATGCATTCAATGTACGTTTTTATATCTTACGAAGACAGTGAATTAGTTCATCGTACCTGGGTCTTCGTTCACCACAATGTGAAAAAAGTGATTCCGAAAAGATTGTAGTCTAAAGAAATTTGCAAATATCTAATAAACTAATATTCACTATGACGAAGACTAAAAGATCTCAAGCATTAGAATTCACGACAGATTGAAGTAATTATAGTCAGTATAACCGATGTGGAACTAGTTTAATTAAATCTATTCATATTTTTGATTGTTGAAAAATTGTCCTATTAACACTGATTCATGCTATAGTGATCAATAACTCGAGTGAAGACAACCAATTTACTATTTAACACAAAATTACAGAATTTCTTGATAAAATATAAGAACCATCATTTGTCCTTCACATTCTATATGATTCTTCCAAGTAACAATTCCTTTCTATTTCCCTTTATATTCTTTTCAACTCGATCTTCTTAGCTTTCTGGTGCTAAGTTTTCCATTTTCGATTAGTGTTACATACTACTTATGTCAACTGATATAAGTAGTATACACCAGATTGTCACTGCGTAAATCGTTCGATATCCAAGCATACAGTTTGAAAGAAACAGATAAAATTAAAAACTGAAAGGTTTTCTCCTGACTGCTTCTAACCACCTAGCATTGAAACAATACAAGCAATGCTGAATCATTTAGATTAATGGTTAAAGTGCAACTTGATCGACAGAATATACGACCAGTACTAAAGGTCAACACAAACATGACATTTGTCACTACTCATTAATCGATCAATGTAAATATCTCAGCCCTATAAGAGGCGAACTAAGACCAGCATAATTCATTTTTAACGTCTCAGACTGTGAAAGTGAATGATATGGGTTCGAATCCCGCAAATAATACCATATCACAAAAGATTTCAGATACATCTTGCTAGTTAATATCTGCTAGTACAAAACTTGAATCCATCATTTCCTATCAATTACCTTCAACAGACTAACAGTGAGAAGTGTGAAATGATGCTCGTAAATAATCAATATATCTACAGCACTACAATAAACTTTAAACTTTTTCCAGGAAAAGTTTTTCTTCTATATTCACTGTTAAACAAGTTCAAACTTAACGACGTTGTTACATCAATTTAATTTAAAATATGAAAAAACATGTAGCATAAAACATAATAAGAACTAAACTTTCAAATTGTGGATAACAGTTTTATCTGTCAAAGGATTTTCTCTCTTGACTATATTTTAATGATGTAGGTAACAATTTATACTCAAATTGGGTTGAATTTCATTTCTACAATCTATTGAAAACTTAAATCTTGTTACCAATCATAAACTAGTCGGTTATTTCATGTTCTAAGAAAAATATTATAAATCTCATCTAGTATTATAATCTTAGTTAACCAAGAATAGATTGTTGTTATACTCACTGTCTAATGAGATTTCAGTTAGTCAATCAGTCATTAACAACGTAGGACCTAGAACATAATATGTATATCGCCACAAGTTATCATACTTCGCGTCAGTAAAGATGTAGTTATCAAGATGAACGATTAAATAATAGAAGTAGTAACAGTATCAGTAGTATTATAAAGTATTAGGTATAGGTATAGAGAAGAAATGTATAGGAGAATTCTTAAAATCAAAATAAAAAGAAAAGTAAAGAGTGAATGAATAGATCTATATCAATGAGACCGACTATGATCCGTGTCACTCTTCTTCTCGACTCACTGGTTACAAAATCAACCCAACCTCAACTTGATAGTTTACACCTATCAACACAGCTTAATCTAATATTCACTTACTTCATAAGTTGATACCATGTTTTGGTTTGATCGTTCATAGATTTCTTCTAGTCTATACATAAATTAGCAAACATTACAAGAATGAAGATGATAAGACACACGTAATACGTGTTCCAACCAATTTAATTGATGAAGATTCCCTATCACATCAACCCTATTTCTAATATTCCCTTAGTAATCTGCTTCTGATATCAGTATTACTCACCTGATAGTCCCAAAATATACTAGTAATGCCTCGAAACTATCTGTCGTCAAATAATATTAACCTAAAATTATCCTTTATCTTTGAAGGTCATGTATCATAGCAGAACGAACTGATAAAGTTGTCCTTTAGTTGGAAGGATATCTCGCTTACATCACAGATAATCCTTCTGAATCCATACTGAGATTTTGTTAGACATCAACCCACTAAGACTGGTGGGATTTTCAAGCTTCGATACAATCCATGAACTCGTAAATAAACTCTGTATGATTAGCTATTCAAACCAAAAACATATAGAACATAGTTTAAATATACAAAGTAATACTCTAGTAGACGAAACTTCACTATCTTAACTATCAAACATTCATTTCAATCAGAAACGACATTCAATTAAGAGTAATATTAATTTCAATTTCTCGTCACTAAAAACAATGACAGAATACACATCTCAGTAGGATTCAATTTCATAATTCATTCAAAACCTTAGTTTACATCTGTAGTGGACGCTACTCACAAAGCTATTTGTAACTAATATGTAGCGGAACGTGATATCAGAGTTGCTACAATTGTCAGATGAAGTTAAGAGTCTCAGTGTATCCAAAACGGTGTTGGAATAACATCGTGGACACCAGACAAGAAGACGGTCCAGACTGCAGAGCATACCGAAAGATGCAAATGGAAAATTGAAGGTTATGTATACATATACATTTAATGTAGATACTTTGTAACTTTTCGTAACAAAAATACATTTCTCTTGCCTATTGTCGTGTCTTACACATCTACACTCACCACCACTCAGAATATTATATGTGTATATGAGGAGAGAGAGAGAGAGGGGAGATGTTGCGAAAAATCTCTAACCAAAATGAACATTTGTAACAACATTAACCCAAAAAACAAAACTTACAGTTTCTTATATCTTGTTTATTTAACATTTCTGAATGATCCCCTATTCTTGATGAAGCACGAAATGAATTTTCATCTGTATTGAATAATTTCTTCTGAGAATTATCTAAATGATTAGAAGTATCATCATCGGGTGGTTTTTTCATTGATTTATTATTATTATTATTAATCTCTTCATTGGATAATAACGGTAGTAGAGATTTAGGCTGTACAATAGCTATATAGTGTATAATATAAATAAAAGAACACAATGATTCGTTACATTCATCTTTTAAACAATGAAGAAAAGGAAAAATTAAGAATCGTTTTTACAAGAAAATGTTATATTCAGTCAATCCTGATGTATATATAATTGGATAGATTAAGGTTAAGAAAATGAATTAGCTATCAGTATGGGGTTGTGGAGATTGTTAAGTTTTTGATTGAGATCACGAATCGATCGATGTTAGAAGACCACTGGATACCTGGGGGCACTGGACGACCGTTTCGTCCCAGTATGGGACTCCTCAGCAGCGCACACTCACGATCCAGAGTGAATTATGATCAATCTTTATTGATGTATATCCCTCCTATAGGAAGATTACACCTCAATAATATAGCTATTTTATCATAGGATTATTTTCTAAAAGGGATAGATTCAGCATTGAATATTTCAACAACCGGAAATTACTGATTCTTACTAACACCTAAATACTCGTTGAACAAGCTAGTGGATAAATAGACTCATTAGCTCAATGGATAACACATTGATGTTTGAAATGAAAGGTACTCAGTTCAATCCTCAATAAGAACATTGACACCGGGATATGTGTACATCCAGCTGACGAGTCCTAAATAGGACGAAATATGAGTTTTGGATTATACTGTTACCTAAAATCTATCTATCTTAAATGGGAGAAATTTTGAAGATATTTATGGAGATTAAATTAAATATCAATGTGGACTGATATAAGTTGAGAAATCATTGAAAATAAGATTGTATCGAACAGCAGTTCCTTATTCATTTTAGGATTATTCAGTAATAAAAACATAATAAATCTTATATCTAATACGTAGTTAGCGCTTAAATTATCCCTTTAACTTCTTAAACTGAAGTGAATTAAGATTTGATATTGTACAAATCATCGCTCAGTGTGAATATGTACGTGTGTACATTCATCTGAACTAAACACAAACCTGATTAGGAACTATTTAAATCGGGACAATCAACATACATCAAAATTAGTTTACACATTCTTACATTAAAATAGAATTCTCTCATAAAACCGTTTATAGTCATTACCGATTCCCAGGATCGAATTGACATGTAACGTTATTATTTTTTTTTCTAATAAAAAAATCTTAACGAATAATATTATTTGTAGGATAGAAATCGTGAGAAAAATGATAAACAGTTATGGTGAAGTATATATATCGTTGGATAATCATAATAATAGTCCATGATTTATTGAACACAGATGTAACTTTAATGGTTGAGATCATGAGTCAATTGAAGCTAGATCACCATGGAAAAACCTGAAAGCACTGGACGGTCGTTTCGTCCCATTGTGGGACTCTTCAGCATTGAGCATCCATGATCCCACCTTGTGAGATTAAAACTCAGGACCTACCAGTTTCGCGTGCGTATGCTTAACCACTAAACCACTGAGCCGGCATCCAATGGTGTTAATGTCTAATTTCAGTTAATCCACGAAATTGATGGTGGTCTAGCAGCTTCAACTGACTCATGATCTCAACCATTAAAATTACTATAATATTCACAAAACCCCTTCTGATACAAATGTAACTGTTATTTAATGACAAACACTTTTAAGGAACAATGAATGATGCAATAATCTGTCATTTCACTGTAAGAAAATTAAATACGTTATTTTAATAGTTAAATTCGTAAGTCGATGTAAGCTAGACCACCATTGAAAACCTGTAAGTAGTGAACGGTCGTTTCGTCCTGAATGACGGGTTGCACAAGATCATAGGTCGATTAAAGTTAGACAATAACACCATCGGATCACGAACCAATAGTCTAAAGGTTAAATAATCGTGCGCGAAATCGAAGGTCCTGGGTTCGAATCCCCTTGGTGTGAGATCGTGGATGCACATTGTTGAGGAGTCCCATATTAGGACAAAACGACTGTCCAGTAGTTCCAAATTTTCAATGGTGGTTTAGATTACATCAACTCATGAATTCAATTGTTAAAATTACTACAATTTCCACAAACCCCAGATCCTAAAATAGAATACTCTGAGTACTGGAAATTTTATTAAATGATACATAATTAAGCAAAAGGTAACAGAAAAGAAATTCTGAATATATAACGAACAATTAAACAAAAAACATAAGATTTAACTCAGATTTAAAAAAAGGTTTACAAAAAGATAACTTATTTGTCCAAGGTCCGTGTTTCTGTGTACTGTTTGTATGTACGTATGTATGTATGTATGTATCAAATAGTGGACAAATAAAGTAATGAAATGGAAAGAAATATTCGATAAAAAATCTAATCAAACTAAGTTTATGCTCAAATGTAACAGTAGAGTAGTAAGATCATGTAGAAAAGTATATAATCAACATCTTGAAGACAAATGTTGTTAAGGTTTTAGTTATCCCAACTAGTTATAATAATATCTTATCTCCTTTAAAATACTCCCTTTTTCTGATTATATATATATATATATATATATATATATATATATATATATATATATATATATATATATATATATATATATATGTCTTATATTCATTTCTATTATTGAAAACATTCCTGAAGGTCATCTAAAGATAGCCTCCTTTAACTATTTCAACATTCCACATTTTATTGCACTCGAATAACAACTTTGCATCCCGATAATGAAGTTACATCCAGTGTTAAGTAGAGAGAGAGAGAGTGAGTGAGTGACGGTTGAATTACAGGTCAGAAATTCGTAAGTATTTACTCCTGATACGCAAGCTGATTCTCAGATATTCAGTGAATAGAACATGTAATACTTATAGAGGAATTATAGCTATCACCGATTAGTAGTTGAATAAAGAGAGGCTACTACGGTCATAATAACTGGAAATAATGGGTGCCAGTCATTTATTTCTTTATGTCCATAACTAACAAACTTAGCAGCTTAGTTCATTATTTTTTTTAAAAAAAAAGCATCATGGAAATTTGGAGAAGTTAATACAGTTGCTCGCTAACTTCAGTCATCCGCCTCCTGGCCATATTATCTGACTCTCGTCAGATTGTATGATGATTGTTATCGAAATATACATGTCGCCAACCCTCATAATTATCGACTTAATTCGCGTTAGAGAATAACGGAATAAGTCAAATACGAGAATGAATTCCGAATACGTATATTTTGTACACTCATTGATCCCAACAGATGAACAGAGAAACGAAGTAAAGGAAGAGAAGCGAAACTTAAGAAAACGGAGAATGTCTTTAGGAAAAACTGAGAACGAAGAGATGCGTGGTGGAGAAGGCGAGTGACACAACTCGATTTAACCAAGCGTAACTCAATATTTATAGTCAGACCAAAATTAAGTTACAGACAGGTAATGAATAGGGTGAGCAATTAACACACAATCATATGAACAGTCAGGATTAATAAGCGAATAATCAACAAGGTCATAATGTGGCTTGAGAAGAATGGATAAATTGGTCTGTACAGAAGCCAGAATAACCTATGTGGGTTTCACATAGTAGCAGACATTACGATACCAGGGAAACTAATAATTTCACATATACACACATGCACATAACAAAAACTCATAAAAACTACTTACTTGAATTAAATTGTACTTCAGATAATAAAATCCATGAGTCAGTTGATGTTAAAGTCAAACTAACATAACGCGCTCTATAACTGGCTAATGGGATTTGTACTACTAATGCACCATCCCATTCATGATTATTATAAATTATAGTGTCTTGAATTAATCCATTGTGCATTGAATTTGATGTTCTTTTTAATCTAGATAATGATGATGACGATTGTATATCATTATCAGATATAGACAATCGTGTTGGATTAATTTGACTTGGATCAATTAGACGAGCATGATTTGTTGAAATTTCAATGGATTTATCAAAATTCTTTCCATCCATACTGAATTCAACGATAGCTTGTGAAAATACACGTGATTTCAATGGGACAGAGTCGAATGTGAATATACGTAACCAAATAAAAGTTCGAACTATAGAAATAAAGAAAACAAATAAATTAGAAAAATGTTTTAAAAGTTATGAAATTAAAGAAATTTATCATTATTATTACTATTAAACTGCAAGGTAAGCCCTCATTTGGAATCCTCAAAGCCAAAGGAGGAGAGGAAGACCAAAGAACACAATATACCGAGAAATGAAGACAGACAAACATGAGAAGAATGAACAACAATTGGATAGAACTAGAAAGGAATACTCAGGATAGAGTGGGTTGGAGAATGCTGGTCGGAGACCTATGCTCCATTAGGAGTAACAGACGTAAGTAAGTAAGTATTTATTTATATTTATGCATAAAAATGTACATATGTACGTAACTTGACGGCAATTATTTATTTAAACGTATAAACATTGGTACAATGAGGCACCCTATAAATATGAGCCACACTTCGTCATTCGATTTATGTGAGGGCTAGAATACTGTCTCGGCACCAAAACTGAAGCAGGATAATTAAGTTACTAAAACATGGATTTAGATATAAATCGATAGATGTCTCAAAGTCAAGCTAGATAGCATAGCATAGTTTTCCTTTGTCTATCTACAATATTAAAACTAAAAGATGAGTTATGAAATGTATGCATGATTTTCATCGCACGACTGAAGAATCAAAGAAATACTGGGAAGCTGATTCGTCTTAGTACGGAACTCTCTTCAGTAGTGTACACCAACGACTAGACAAGGAATCTAACCAACAACTTTCAGATCTCATAGAAAATAGCTGAAACAGAAATTTGTAGTAAATACAAATACGTTAGTAGTTTATACAAAAACACAGATTTACCTTCATCAAATTTAAAAACAATACGTAAATTCTTATTTGGAACATTCCAACCAATAAAATGAAAACCAGGTTGAGCTGGATGAGAATCTGAATGTTGAGTAACATTGCCTAAATAAGCAATATTATCCATTAATTGACCTATTCCACCGACTAATTGATTTTCTAATTCAATCAATTGACCATCATAAGTTAAATCTTGAAAATTTTGTGGAATAGTAGAATAAGGTGAACCGAATAATAATTGTTGACCATATGTGATAGTATCACCTTGTGGCATTGAATAAGATATGACACCATCTGTAATGATAAATGAATTTACATTATAATTCATAGAAATATTACAGGTTATAATATTCCATTTGATAGATAACGATTGTGGTTGAAAGAACCCCTTTAATAACTAAAAACCTCTATCTTATTACTGAAATCAAGCGCTTCTGAACAAGATAACACAACCAACTCGAAAATCCGAACTGTAAGTTAATCATCACTAGAGTAGAGTCTGGTATAAGTGTGTGTTAACCATAGCTATCATAACATATTACCATGAAGAGATGAAATGAACAAGATGACTAGTAACGTAGTTAAAATAATGTTGTAACAATCGAACCAAAACTGAAATTCATATTCAATTAGTGAGTATTGTATCAGAGGGTTACTGTCTAAATAGGAAATATGTAAATAACCTTATCAACACAGATCAATCGCCAGTTTTAATTCTAACGATATCTCAACTAATGAGATACAAGGAACTAGTACATTGATTAAATTGATTTTATTCTTTACCAACTGATCATTTGTGAGAAAAACTCTTCATTTTAAGATTTACAAAATTAACATTATTTAACACTTGATATAATCATATATCTTATCCACATTGTCGTATTGGGTTCTAAAATTGATTGACTAATTTAGGTTTCGAGAAACCATGTACTACTATGAGGGTATAGATGAAACAAGTTAGTGAAATACTCAATCACATCAAGCTGTGAGCTATTGATCAATTTAATTATTAGTCAGATGAATTCGACTACTGTTGACCATATTCTATTCTCTCTAATAAGCTCTGGCATTTGGAAGAAACTGAAGACAGTTCAATAATTCCAAGTGATCAAAAATGGGATTCATTGAACTCCCATTATTTACGTCATGGATTAATCTCGGTTGGACAGCTATTGAATATAAGGAAAAAATAGTATAGTTCAGTGGTTTGAAGATTAATAAAGCGTGAGACCTGAAAGTCCTGATGTTCGATCCAAGATGAAATCGTATGGATGAGCTCTGTTGAAGAATTCCATAAAGAAAAAAAAACAACTGTTCAATGCTTTGCAGTATCCAATGGTAGTCTAAATAAGATTAGTCCGTGATATAAATCATGAAAATTCAAGTCTTCATCAAACCAATACAATAGTTATTGGATTTAAACTCCATGGTTTGTAATATATTTATGTATCAGTATAGGGTTGTGGAGATTATTAAGTTTTTGATTGAGTCAGATTACCATTGAAAACCTGAAAGCACTATACGGCCATTTTGACCTATTGTGGGATTCATCAACAGTATAAGTGATCAGCGTTTTTCCGGCACAACAATCAGCGACGATCAGTTATAACAAATTCGAACCCAGGGCCTTCAGTCTCGCGTGCGAACGCCTAACCTCTAGACCACTGAACCCTCATACAATGGTGTTAATGTATAACTCCAACCAATCCACGATATTGTGCGACCATCTTCCATTGCATTGAGGTAGATACCTGTCTTTACTCGACACGGATTAGCTCCACTGGTCACAGTTTCTCACTAAAACTCCGAGAATCCTCTCATGAAGCTAGTCACTAGTGAGCACATGGTAATTATCAGTATAGGGTTGTGGAGACTATTAAATCCCATAGTAGGACGAAACGACCGTCCAGTGCTTCCAGGTTTTCAATAATGATCTAACATCAATCTGTTCATGATCTCAATCAAAATATATGTATGTCCTGAGGTTTTGATTCTCTTACATGACTTTCATGTGATGAGCACTAATTGAAAATTTCTGAAAGACAACAAAATTATCTATGTAGTGACTATTTAGTTACTAATATTACTCTTGTTATTGATGACAAACTGTGAAGAACAATATTATTGATTTTTTTTAATTGAGTGGATTGCTTAAACAAAAAAACAAACAATAATAGTTTGATTATTAGACTTTAACATCTGATTATGTCATAAGAAATAACTTGAAAATATACACCACTGAGAAATGATCTTAACAGATTCATGTTGATTGAATGACATATGATACAATACCATTTCATAATCATATTGACTAACACACAAAACTGAACAATCTCTTATTTCACATAATAGATGGTATACACATATCAGAAACATTGAATATGTACAAATTTTAAACAATCAAACAAACAAGTAAACATTATAATAAATAAACAAATAAAAAACACATTTATGTAATATTGCTTAACTGACTCATTATTATTATTATCAGAAGGGGTTTTGTGAATATTATAGTAAATTTAATAGTTGAGATCATGAGTTATTCGAAGCTAGAACACCATGGAAAACCTGGAAGCATTGGACAGCCGTTTCATCCTACCGTGAGAGTACTCCTCGATAGTGCGCATCCAAGATCCCGCCCAGCGAGATTCGAACCCAGAACCTATCAGTCTCGAGCGCGAGCGCTCAACTATTAGACCATTGAGCAGGTAGTCTCGTGCGCGAGACTAATAAGTCCTGGGTTCGAATCTTGCGAGGTGGGATCATGGATGTACACTGCTGAAGAGTTTCACAATAGGGCAAAACGGCCGTCCAATGCTTTCAGGTTTTCCATGGTGATCAACCAGCTTCAACTGACCCATGATCTCAACCATTATAATTCATTATTATCACTAGTCTTATCATATATTTAATCAAACTGCAATGAAAACGTTTCCCTCCTTATTCGCTTCCTCCCTCCCTCAATTCTCTTCACACACAAAAAAACTCGATTACTATAGGATTCTGAAAAAAAACTATCTATCGACAAATGTCAGTTAATTATTTATATAAAGTAACTCTCTCTCTGATTAAAATGTACAAAATCTCGAATATTTTGATTTAGAAAGCGAGAGAAAAAAAAGACAGAAAGAAGAAAAGTATTATTTTTTCATACAAACATGATTTGATTGAAATAAACAATTTACTAATTAGTAATCAAATTAGTAAATGTTCATATCTCCTTAGTAATATGTACATAATAATTGGAACAATTGAACGAAAAGAAAAGAAAAGAAAAGAAAACAACAACCACAACCACAACAACAACAACAAATAGGATCGGTTGAAAGAATCTGATTGGTTGAAAATTTTTAGAGAATGCTGATTGGTTAATATTGATTGATGATATATTTTGATAATTAAACATAATACCCTGTGATCAGAATTTCTATATAGAAAATGAGGTTAGTTACATTGAGAATACTTAAAAGGCCTTAATATTATGTGCTTGTAAACACATACTTATATGGGTATGAAAAGGTGTTACAGAATGTGTTAATAGTTTCATTGTTTGCTAACTTAACTGATTATGAATATGATATGAAAATTGAAGATAAGTTTCTCAGTAATACATTAAGATTCTAGTAATCTATCAAGAGGTTCAAGTTAACGCTTTATGTTAGCAAAAGCAACTTTAATTAATTCAAAGAAACTTAACTTATAAATGAGTAAAAGATACATATATCTTCTCCGTTTAACTTGACCTATGATAAAGTCTTTTGAATGTTAGTTCGAATTTTGTCCGTTTCCCGTCGGCATAATCTGCGCTCCATCGCAAGATACTTTTCTTATTCATAACTCTACGTACATCTTTTTATTTGACACTACATTCTTGATAATAGTTACTGTTATTATTACCATTATTATTATTATCGTTACCGCAATTCATATTCTCATTTAAATCATGGATCGATCTAAGTTAGACCACCATTGAAAACGTGGAAGCATTGGACGGCCGTTTCACTCTAGTACGAGACTCCCCAATGGTGCGCACCCATTACCCCGTAGGAGAAAATTGAGACTGAATGTCCTAAGTTTGACTCATGTGTGCGACGTTGTGGTTGTTCACCACTGAGGAGCCATATACTAGGACGAAGCGACCGCCCAGTGCTTCCAGGTTTTCAATGGTGGTCCAATTAATGTCAGTTAGTGATGTTAACTGTAGAAATACTACAATCTCCGCAAGTCCTCTTTATTCGTCTTGTGGTGGATTACATGCCACAGAATGAGTCGAATGATTCATTCCGTTCTTGTCTTTCCTTAGATCGTAGAGCTTTAAAATTATCATATACTTCCCATTTCCTGGATTTATTTGATTTTCTTAAATCATATTCTATATTTTCCACTTTTTTCTTTACTATTACTGATATTCTAATCCGTATTCTGATATCCCTCTTGATAATGTAACCTCAGTCTGGTGAACTGCTGTGGTGTGTCTAATACCTTCATTATGACTAACTGACTGAGGGTAATGAGCGGGTATGCAAAGTTGAAGGCTCACAAACTAGAAGTTTAGAACAGTTTTTCAATATTATTTAGCTTTCACCAATTCTACGGATGATAACAAACACAATTAGTGATATGAACACTACTGTGGTTATCTGTAACGTTTTCATTGTTGTTGAAAAGGTCTGTTGTATCCAGTAATTTCGGTTATTTTCCAGTTTCTTTAGTGGGATGAGTACTGTATACTGGGGTATGTGATATTCATTAAAGATCTCATTTCAATCCCTAATTTCCACTTTATTTGTATTTTTCATCCGACATATTGGACTGCGTTACATTGTTATATTCAAAGCAGACGAGTGCGGATAACTACAGACGAATGGAATGAAATCTTTAACAAGAATTACATTCCGATATACGGCACCGATCCACTAAATAAAAAGTAGTAGAAAATGTTGGATAGAACATATCCATTGAACATTGTGAATGTTCAATCATATACAACCTGGAATGAAACCCTAAATTATGGTTATTTGTATTTGTCATATTTATGGTAATTTGAGAAGTAATCTGATAAATACATATACACATATACAGTAACAACGATTACAACTGGTTACAAAACAAAACGATAATTATTCAATTTGCAACCTATATCATAAAATACCTTCTCCAGTTGAATTATCCATATAAAAATGCTAATAACAATGTGTATATGTATATATGAACATATATACTATGATCTAGAGGTCAGGTCATAGCTTTAAGACACAAAACTCTGTATGTCTACAGAGATTTGAGATTCTGAAATAAAATTAGACTGTCATCATCATCATCAACAACAACGACATCAAATCCATTAATTTAAATGATAGAGAATTTGTGACCTAATTTATTTTATGAATAATCGTAACAGTTTAAAAAGAGGAGGTTAACTAATCTTATCAAATAGACATTGTGTTTGATATTATATTGACTAACCCTAACCAACCAATTGACTGAGTGAGAGATTTGACGCCTTATGGTTTTTGTATAAAAACGAGTATGTATGTGTGTGTATGTGTAGGTAGGTAGGTGAATTGAATGATTCATTATCGATTGATTCATGATAATATTAACAGTAACGGTAGTATAAAAACGGAGTGGTTGATGTGGCAAATGAGAGTAGAAGCATTAAAAATGGTATCTATTGCACACATACAACATGTATGCAAATCATGCCTATTCATGGAATCGAAAAAGAGAATAATATGTATATAACAAATAGACAGATATAATCATGTTAATACATGAAAAATGCCATTCACTTTCGTGATCAAAAGTAATATTCCCAAAATAATTTTCCACTTAGAAAATTACTCATTTCAACGTTAGTGAAAACAATAAGCGAAGATATAATCATAATTAACTTTAAGAGTAAAAAATCATTATTCACCGCTAGCATATGTTCCGTTAGGTAGACGGAATTGTGACCTACTCAGCAGTTATGTCTTTCTCAACACAACTAACTGTCTGTTGATAGATTATTTCATGGCCAATGAATCGATACGATTAACAATGAATTATTTTCATAGCTATACAAGCAATAGAAACGTGAAATCATTAGATAGATGTTTCGTCCTAGAATTCACTCCTCGGCATTGTACATCTACGACCATCCTACAGGGAATCGAACTCACGACCTTCGATCTCGCGCACGGACACTTAATCTCTAAACCACTAAGTGGGCGTACAATATACACAAGCCTAACTTTGATCAGTTCAATAATTTAAGTTAAAAGTAAATATGGCGTCCGGTTGTCGCTAACTCACTACTAAATAAATAACTATAAAATGAATCGTGACTAGTATTGAAAATTAAAACGGACATAATGGTTAGTATTTTTTTTATTAGTACAACTGATTGTAAATAACATACCCGGTGGGTAGGCGGATATGGTAACTAAATAAGTAGCATAATAAATAACGCGTTTGAATTTGAAAAGATAAGCAGTAGATTCGTGTCTTAGTGCGAAAATCAACAATGCGATTAAGGTAGATTCAAACGATAAAATCAGTATCCCAGATATGAATTTTTCGGAATGTCTAAACTATTCATTTATCAATGAAAAATCAATTTTATGACTGTCTCTGAAACGGTCATTCAATTTGTATGCTTACATGAAACATATCGATTTCATGTTTCCTTAAATCAATATTAATAGAGATTGGATTTAACTGAAAGAAGAATAATCAATCTTCCATAGAATTTATTGATATGATGTGTAACGTTTCAACTGGATCTCAAATGCTGTCTGATGTGGTGATTCGTCGTTTTTTTTATTCACTCTTCTATTTAACATAATAAAAAGTATTAGATCATAGAAAGGAGATTCTTAGGATAAAGAAATGCAGGTAAGGCTTATCTCAACATGAATACCACTAGATTTTTAAAAAAAAATCGAATCTCAACAATATTTAAGGGAGACTAAACGATGTATGTTGATAATTCTCGAAAGATGAATGTTTCATAGTTGAGATCATGAGTCAATTGAAGCTAGATCAACGTGGAAAACCTGGAAGCACTGGATGGCCGTGTCGTCTTATTGTGGGACTCTTCAGCAGTGTTTTGTGGAAATAAATTCAATTTATAGGTTGCATTTGTTACAAACTGATCTTCGTTGGGATACTATTGAATAATAGAGAGGTATTGGACAGCTATTTCATCCTTGTAATAAGATAACTTAGAAGTGTATAATCAAAGACCCTGTATCAAACGACAAACCCAGAACTTAATTCTTACTGAATTTCGAAGCCAAACATATATAACTACTACTGATAGAAGACCACTTTTTTTAACCTCTATGCTGATCAATATTACCTCTAAATGACAATAAATGATTCGTAAATGTTACATAATTTGAGAGAAAAGTAACATTTTTCTACGCTATAAATCTTTTCATCACTATCCCCCAGTGTATTATCATTTCATCTCATTAACTCAAAAGAAAAAAAACGGATTGATAATAAACTAGTATTTAAAGTGATATGAATACACTGAACTCTATGAAATCATGTGAAGTAATGGACTAATGATTAATATATTTAAAATTTTGATCCCTACACTGAGATTACAGATTAAAACCTTATTTCATTTACTTCAGTCACTTTTATAAACATACTTAGAATGAGAAATGGATACTAACACTATCTAACAGAGCAAACTGAAGTAAGAAGTATGAGAGCAGGATTCAAACTATGATAAACTGAAGTTCAATAATAGCCCGACGACCATAAATCCACCAAGCATTGTATATGTGTGTATATGAAAATATAATGGGTTTTGTGTTAAGTGTACTTTGAAAATGAATATGGTTAAAATATCCATATGTATATATTACCACTCACCTGGGAAATCACATCCATACAATGCAAATCGTAAGCAAACTTGTTGTTTTGATCGATGACTATAAGGGTAGATACGGATACGTTTAGCGATAACCACTGAATCAAGTGTAGTTCTAGCAATATTTCGTGGATCATTATTAGCTTTGAGGACCTGATAAGATAAATGTATATATATATATATATATATATATATATATATATATAAACAATCAACGAGGAATGGTATAAAAACATTCACAATGGTTAAGTAACATTAACAAACATAAGATGAAATGTGATGTGAATTCATTTCATTTAGTATCCTCTAGATTTTCTACAAGTGTAAACATATTTAGAAAATTATTCAGTTACTGTTAAAGTAGAAAATCTGGCAAGACCATTGTGTTTCCATACTTTGACTATTTATCTTGTCTACATTAGCAAGATATTAACTGGTTATAAGTAAACAAGCTATAAGTTGCATTGTAACGACTAGTTTTATAATCGAAGTGTTGGCATTTAAGCGGTACAAAACAAAATGTCCTAGATACATGAACACAAACTATCAGTGAAACGATACGATATGCTATCATCAATATAAATGTACATAAACAAATACAGACATGAATTAGACTGAGAAAACATTGAAATTCTGGATCATGAAAACTCTAAGAATCATAGAGCAATTCTGGAAATATGACATTGAAATTATTTGATTATCAATGAACCCACTGAAATAGATTTGACCTGTCGATCTATTTAGAAGAATTCAATCAATTATATAACCACAGGTCAAACTAAGCAATATAGGAATGCAACTACAACTGAAGATACAGAAACCTACGAAGAAAATTCAATCCATAAATAAAACGACCAGAAACAAAATGTTTCAATGCATGTGGAATAACTAAGAAGCTCACTTCTAATTAAAGTAACTAGTGAACGATAGTTAAAGCTTAACAATTTAACCAACTAACTCAAAATACTCAACAACACTAAAATATCTACAGTATACCACTCTATGATTAAACGTAATCGAATGTAAAATCATCCCCTTTATCCAGAACACAGTAAAAATAATGTTGAAGGAATTCACATTAAATGAAAGTCATTGAAATCATGAAATGATCAATGTTGGGCCACCATTGGGAACCTGTAAGCACTGGACAGCTGCTTCGTCTTAGTATGAAACTCCTCAGCAGTACACATCAACGATACATGACCCAACACGAAGGAGTCGAACTCGGGAACATCAGTCTCGCGCGCGAACCCTTAATCTTCAGACCACTAAGCCGGCATCCAACAGTTTTAATGTATAACTTTAACCAAACCACGTTGTCGCGCCACCGTCTTCTTTTATCTTCAATGGGTAAATGCCTCACACGCGACACGGTTAGACTCCATTGATCACAGCTTCTCATAAGATCTCCGAGAATTCCCTCTCAAAGCTTTGAAGGTTTGGTTACTGAGTTGAAAGTATTCAACCTTATTTCGTGACTAAACACACTAAAATAAACTGTCAAACATTAACCAACCTCATATACCCACCTATCAACCTACCTCTTATAAATTTCATTTCATTTACTCATTAATTAGACAAACATTCAATCCATGCCAAAATTATGTTTTAAGAACTATGGAATTATTATTATTATTATTATTATTATTATTATTATTATTATTATTATTATTGTTATTAATCACAAAACCCTCACCTCCCTACCTCACTTTTGCCTTGTTTCATCTCACTTTTGTACACTTTCTCACAGACATCTCGATTCTTGTCTACAACTATTTATTTTCTTGCTTTTCATTACATAAAATGAATAACACAAATTATGTTGTTGAAACTAAACTATAAAAATTAACAATGATGGTCAATATTCAAAGACAACTTTCTATGAAATTGATTTCGCTGTCTCCACCTCCCATATGCACATTATATAAAAAGATTAATTATGAAAAGATATATTACTTTAATAAAACATTATGTTCTTGTGATATAAATATGCATGATTATTGTAAACGTACTCGTGTACCATCAGTTTTTACATGTTCATACCACACACCATTATCTTCCCGTTGATATCGTAAAACAAAATTTGGCATATATTCTTTTACCTAACCAATGACAAATAATAAGAGACAGAGAGATAGAGAATATAATACTAAAAATTCATATACAAATCAATCAAAGACAACATACTCATAAATATGTATAAATCTTATGCTAATAAGTTGATTTAAGTTTAAGAATTATTGAATGTTAAGAAAAAGTATTAAACAGATGTATTTCAATAGTTTAGATAATGAGTCGATTGAAGCTAGACCACCACAGAAAACTTGGAAGTACTGGATGACCGTTTCGTCCTACTGTGGGACTACTCCTCAGCAGTGCGCATCCACGATCCCGCCTCCGTGTCAAGGACAAGATCATTTCAACAAAATGTCGAAAATATAAACTCTTGAATTATCATTAAGTGACTTAAACGTAATATGATTATTACGAGACTTAGAGGTTATAAGTTTAATTCTCTAGTGGTGAGAGTGCGTGTAAATAGTTGAACAGTAACCAAAACTACGGTGGAATAGTTCTTTAATACTTTGGTGGAGCAGTAAATCAGCGCTAAACGAGTTGAACTTTTACAGATATTAAGTTACATTTTCGAAGCCCGTTCCATCTACTTCGGATTAAGTAACAGTGTAGTATCACTATCCCTCACAATCGGAGTGCCAGTGTACTCTGACTTTCAATGATATTCTAAATGATGTTGATCTGCACTGAAAAACAACTTAAGTATAAACTAATGTCTATAAACTTATCGATCAAAAATAATTGACCTAAAATAATGTAATTCAGAATCCAAGTATACAGCTTCATTTACTCAACTTTAAACCACACTTAGGTGTTTGTATGCGAGATCATCAAAATGACACTATTCAGATGTTTAGATCAAAGTATATGAGACATAATTGGATAAATTAATCAAAGCTCCACAAATAATAATGATGTCACTCAGTATCCCAGTACAGATCCATATAACCGAAATTCGAAGTATGATGTGTGTGACACGCATGTCCATATCAGAAAAAAACATCATCTGCACAGAGCCTAGCATAGATATGCGTTGTCTCAAGTTACCATACCTGATTAGCTCGACGAGTTGACAATAACGAAAAAATCGAAATAATGTGGTAGGAATGATGAAAAAACTGAATATTGAAAATATGGTTTGAGAAGATAGATGGAAAGGTATTTCACGAAAGGTTACTAGTACTCAACGTTAAGAGGAAAATACTCAATATTGTGAACGGTTCTGAGTCATCTTACTCAAAGTCCAACCTAAAGAAGGTAGTAGAACAATGGTTGAGATCTACAACATAATAATTGATTTGTATTAATTGTTTGAATTTTCCCCATTGACGTTTAGGACTGCAATTGATCAGTCTCGTTTGGCATATGTACATCCTGTCAGGATTAATAATGCCATTAAGTCACAAGCACTTTTTTAAAAAAAACAACAGATGTGGATAAAAACGAACGGTACATAACTCGAAACCCGTGGTGAATATCAACTCTAGGATGCAGATATATCCAGTTGACAAATCACAATTAGGATGAAATGTGCACTCTCGACTCCAGTATAACATTATAATTTTAAAAAATGATTGTTTTAGCTATAAAACTATCAATTCACTTGGTTTTGTCTTACTTGTATCTTCCCATTGTTATTTAGGACTGCAATTTATCAGTCTCTTGTTGGTATATGTGCATCCCATGCGGATTGCCTCGATATAGCCTTAAGTCACAAGCATTTTAAGCAAAGATGGATAGTGCCTAGCAGTCGAATCAAGTTTAACACGCATTTCGTCCTATTTGGGACTCGTTAACTGGATGTGCCTGCATCCCACAGTTGATGTTCACTCCGGAACTTGAACCCAGTACCGCTTGCTTCAAACGCCATCACGTTATCCACTTAGCTACTGAGTCCTGATAGCCACCTGCTTGTGGGATGTAGGTACATTCAAGTGACGAGTCCCAAATAGGACGAAACGTGCATTCTGGATTCCACTACTAACCACTATCTATTTTTGCTTAGATATAAAACTATCGGCCTAAAAATATCAAACAAATGAATTCTCTCTACTATGAAACAAAATAAAATACAGATAATCATATCGTGCATTTTATTTTCCGTGAGAAATAGTGAAAATATATCAGGAAAGAAACTTTTTTTTTAGAAAAAAAGGAAGTTAAACAAACAATAAATCAAAAAAAAAGAAAAACTATGTATATCCTAAATCAATTAAGATCAGAAATCATTATTTAGCCAACAATCTATTAATCTACATACTAATATCAGAGAAAATTGTCTCTAAACACGGTACCAACTATGAATTGGTCGCATCTTCATTCGTTTATCATTAAAACCTATACAGACACATATATACAGATACATACATCCATACAAGATAACTCTATCAGAATGAATGTGTATTAGTATGCAATGGTTATAATAAATGAGAGTGATAGATATTTAATATATAAATTTTTAGATGTAATTGGTATAGATGACAACTAGTTGAGTCATAACAAAATTTAACCAGGAAGGTATGAATATCGATTTACAAAATCTTCTGAAATGATTGTATGTCTAGTGGTTAAGCACTCCTAAACTACAAATTATTCATAAACTATGCCCGCCCCGCTGAAATATATAACATCTTTAAAGTAACACCACTTTTCATAGCTTCGAACCGGCATAGTGATAAGCAGTGAGCAATAAATGATGAATAATAAACTTCGTTTATGTAAGACTCAACTCAAGCAGTTAAATCCAATCGGATAAAAAAGGTCGACGGTTCTATTCAATTTGACGATTCGTTCGGAATTTCGATATGATTAGAAAACTATAGATTCTGATACATTTTCTCGTTTTCTATTGGTTGATAAAGTCCAATTACCCATTCTAATATGTCATCAATATTCCACGGTCATGTAAGTAGTATCTAATCCATAGTGTTCTGTCGTACGATTGCTTTACTGAGGAACAATAAAAAATCTTTTCCGAAGGCGTATCTTCATTTTTACGCTACAAATATCCTTGAAATGTTGTTTTATATATAAACTCATCTGATATTTAATATCTGTATGCATAACAATATTCCCATCTAATCTATGTTATTCTCAGTACAGACTACAATAATGTGACATTTTACATAACTTATCGGATAGATTACTTCACGGCAACCTGTTCTAACCATTGTGAGTACTTCCCAATAGCTTATATATATATATAGTAATGTATGTCAAGTAGTCAAAATCAAACTGTATTTTAGTGTATTTACACACAAATTACAGTATTTATTATATGCTTTGTTTAAATAACTTATTCAATTGCCAAACAACAGATTTTGTCTCATTAGGACACCATCTATCTGTCTACTGTTTATTATCTACGAACGTATGTCTGTAATATGAATGAGAAATTCTATTGAAATCGTTTCTCTTATTCACCATATATTATCATTGTTTTATTTACATTGAACTAAATCAGTTCATAATAAAACAAACCATACAAAATAGATATGAATTTAAACAAAATTCATTGTTCAATAGATCAAGCTATTTGATTTGCAAGAAAGACAATACTGTGTAGAAAATAAAAAATGGAGTCTTCAACTCTAAAGTGTAGACGATAATAATAATATAGGGAGTGATTATGTTGATAATGATGACGATGATCATGTTTAGTGCACATAGACGGCGCTAAAAAACAGTAAGGATCCAGTACAAATAATAGTCAATGGTCTTGAATGCTGTTAGAAGTATGAGGGCGGTTATCACTACCCGGTCGCCCACACCATGGAAGGGTTCTTATGGAGGTACCTGAAAACGAAATTAGATTAAAGGTGGTTTTGGTGACTTGAGAGCATGACTGCAGTGCCTAAAGGACAACTGATTGACGTCGGTCACATACGACCTTTTTGTAGGTAGTCCTAGTGTTAGCTCCGTAGTTGATGAGACCTTACCGACAGAGACGGATATCCGTGGGATAAGGTGAGGTGTACATTTTTAGGGTCAACCTTTTCCAACCCCGCTCCCTCCTTGTGGGAAGGCAGCATCGGTGTTGTGCTGGTTGTCTGTAGGAAACATCTTACTGCTGTCACACCTCTGTACAGTCAGGAGTACGACTTCGCCCTTGGAACTTGGGTTTGCTGCTTTTAGTCTTACCGCTCATCAACCGACCTATCTGGCATGGTAGGACCTTGAGGAATGATTGTTTCAGCCAGTATAGCTCGACTGCTTCAACACGATAGGCAAGCCCGACCATCACGTCAAGGTAACAACAACAGTCAGGAGTACAAATAATAATTAATTAATCAGCCAACTAATCGTAATACATTACATTTATTGAATTATAGAAATTGATAATAATATTAATTAATTGTAAACTAATGAATAAAACATATAAAATATAATGTAAAAAGAAAGTGAATTGAGCCATGATAATAGTAATACACTTTTGAGAATGGATTTGTCCACAATTAGATTGAAAATAGAAAAAAGATAGCCTATTATCTCAAGAAATATATACATATCTGTTGAATTATATATGTAACAAATTGCTACTACTTTTGTGGTGTATGATGCTAGTTATATCAACAGACATAAGTAGTATGTAACACTAATCGAAAACCTAGTAGCAGAAAGCTAAGAAGACCAAGTTGAAAAAAGTATAAAAGGAAATAGAGAGGAGTTGGGTTAGGCAATAATTTATGGACGAACCAATAAGATTTAAGATGGCAAGTTTTAGATTTTGGCGCTAGATTAATCTACTCATTTGGTTAAATACCATTTCAGCACTATAGCTGATGTCAGTTAGTGACAAAAGCATTGAATATAATTTCTAACTCTAACGTTCAACTACAAATCCTGATCCTAGCTCCTCGCACTAATTTATAACCCTGTGGTATATGCTACTTATATCGACATAAGTAGTATATGACGTTAGTTAGGAACAGAATGTCTGGCAGCAGAGAGACAAGAGGATCGAACAGTAAAGAATGAGAACAGAATGCAATTTGTATGAAAATGTACGAACAATGAAGTCTGAGTC